ACTTGTTAATTCAGTATTCTTGACTTTGCAGCATTAATTGTTAAGTTTGTTTAATATTTTTCCACTATTTTGAGCAGTGCTGGCGGGAGGTGACTCATACATGCATAATTCCATTATTCCACGGTAGAAACACTGATTGTAAACTATGATACACATTTAATAGGCAATTACTTAAACTTAATACTGATTTAATCATTGAGAAAATTCATTCAAATATTTTCTAGAAGCTTACACAATTAATATAACAAACCTTTGCAAAAAAGGATCACCTTGAAATCAACACTACAGACATGTATATAAACAAACTGTCATAAAAGACCAACTTGAAATAATGACCAAATGAAATTAAAAAACTTCAATATTTTTCCTATAATTATATGTATGTTTGTATAAAGTTAAGTGACCCCCAGACCTGATTTATATTACTTATGTAGAGGTCCAGTAGGCAATACAACACACTAAATATGTTAGCCCTGGACATTGTAGTTTGACTGTGGAGAAGTTTAAAAAAATAAGTATTTTAGCTCCTGTGACCTTGTGCATCAGACTGGGGACATTTATGTAACTGTTCTAGTGGATAATAATATTACAGACAACTAACAGCCTACCGCAGACAACACTCACAAACACTCTGCCTAACACTGTGCCTCAGCTCAGCTTAAAAGAACTATTATTCATGGACAAGTTCAATAATAATGATTTTTACAGGAAAGATCTTTATGTAGATATAAAGTTTTGCAGGTTGATTAACTAGTGAAATCTTTTACACATGTCAGGAAACTACCTCCAAACAAAATCCTATCTGTGAGCATTAAGCATTTTACTCATTGAACTTCCATCAATAAAGCTTAAGCGAAAAACTGTGTTCTTACAGCATTTTCAGGGACAATTTAAATTTCATTAATCTTTGAAAAACCTCCCATCAGTATCAATATGGCTTAGCTTTGAAGCTGTGCTTTAACATTAGCATTTGTATTGATCACTGATTGATGGTAATCTTTAGCAGAATAAAAACGAATAAATTCAGCGAAAATCCAGTTAACTGTTCATTTAACATTTCCTATTTAGAGACAAAAGTGTCATTTAAAAAGGTTTACAGTGCTGTGAAATGGTTTTGTACTATGGTACTAAAGTTAAGTGCACTATTTCTCTAGGTTTCTTAATAAGTGGCTTGGAAACCAAGAAAATTGTTAGAAACGCCCACATCCTTATATTGGTAATGTTAACTGACTTAAATGCTCTAGGGATTCAAAATGAACTTATGTCTCTTTTATATAATATGAAGTTTCTTATATAATTTAATATTGTCAGAAATGCAATATAATGTAATTCAATACAATATAATTCATTGTACTAAGTAAGTCTATAAAACTATATGAAACCTAGGTTGGTTTTGAAAATTATTAAATAAACTAAATGACCCCCCCCCCCCATTTTTAACCACAGTGCCATGATTTATATAACTTTTGTTGAGATCCACTGGGCAATATCTAAGCCTGGGCACAAGAAGACTTAATGTCAGTCCACCCCAGGACAGGGCCAATTTTAACTATGGGGTCATGGTTTATATAACTTTTAAGAAGAACATAAGGTGACATTGTTATATATGAACACAAGACAAAATCTAAGCTCTGAGCACAAAAATACCTTAATGTGTGTAAGGAAATGATCCCCAGGGATGAGCCAACTCTGACCCCAGTGGGGTTGTGCAACTTTTACAGAAGGCCACACAATGATATTGCAAACATGTAAGCTCTTAAGGCATTATAATTTTGGATGAGTGATGTTTAAGAAATATTTACTATATCAGTATAAGGTAAACCAAGATGTTGCTACATCACAAATATATTGTCATTTCTGAGCAAAGAAAACTTATAAAGATTGCACTCTGACTTAAGAAATATGTTTAGCAATGTGATATAGTTATAACTCACAATGGAACCATTCATAAAATATTTGTAGAGGGTCACCAAAGGTTCATTCATGTGATTAAGTTAAAGAAATAATGTAGATGGATTGGAACAAACAACATGCCACCCGTAAACTAAAACATGTAGATTAAGAACTTAGTCTACAGATATAATGGTAACAGATCCTTCATTACTGCAGAGAGACCCCGGCCCATACCACAGCCACACAACTTCCTGCCCCTTACCACAGCCGCACAACCTTCCCCGCCCCTACCACAGCCAGACAACCTTCCCCCCCCCCCCCTACCACAGCCACACAACCTTCCTGCCCCCTACCACAGCCGCACAACCTTCCCCGCCCCCTACCACAGCCAGACAACCTTCCCCGCCCCCTACCACAGCCACACAACCTTCCTGCCCCCTACCATAGCCACACAACCTTCCTGCCCCCTACCACAGCCACACAACCTTCCTGCCCCCTACCACAGCCACACAACCTCCCCCCCTACCACAGCCACAACAACCTTCCCGCCCCCTACCACAGCCACACAACCTTCCCGCCCCCTACCACAGCCACACAACCTTCCTGCCCCCTACCACAGCCACACAACCTTCCTGCCCCCTACCACAGCCACACAACCTTCCCGCCCCCTACCACAGCCACACAACCTTCCTGCACCCCCTACCACACCCACACAACCTTCCTACAGATAGCTAGTTGATATGTTAGTATTGACAAATAATATTTCATCAAACCAATAAAAGTAATGATTATCAAAGTACAAACATACAATTTTCTTAAACTTCTTTGTCCAATTAACAAAATATCTGCTAGATAACATATGATGTATTGATTATTCAGCATTCATCTCTTGCTTGTATTATAAACTTCCTTTTAAAATCATTTCAACAGCAAAAAGCTGTAGTAAAGTATTTTAAGAGAGAACTGTTTGATTAGGCAATAGAAAATAAATAACTAGATTCTCATCCAAATTTTGGGAAAAAATGGGGCGGGTGGGTGGATTTTAATTTTTATTTTTTATTTTCCATTCTCGGTCTGGAATTACACACGAAGAGGTCAATATTTGGGAATTTGTTCTATATAATAGGTTCTAACATTATGTGTATGTAAGATATATATAGATTCAGATTGAGAATGGAAGCAACATGATAATATATCTTGATTGTAATGATCTAGCTGTTTTATTGAACCTTTTACATCAAACCAATTGATGTTTTGACAAAATAAAAAAATATATAGATCTACATGTATTGTTACATAATAAGACATCTTAATTTTATAAGAGTTGAATAAAGATGTACTATGCTTATGCCGATCAAAAGTGCTTTTACATGAGTAAATTAATTAATCAATCAATGAAGCTACACAAAAAGACAATCCTATTGCAAAAATAACATCTAAGCTCATTGAAAATTTGGCAAAGAAAGTACAGAGATTTACCTATTATATTAAAAAGCTATTTTATTTATGACTAAAGATATTATAAAGATTACATACAAATCAAGCAGCACGCTGACCATGACGATTATACGCGAAATTCATTTTTAAGGCCACAAGGGGGGGGACCGGCACCCTGTTATTTATTTTTTTTTATATAGGTTCAAGATGATTATTTTCAGGCCGTATCATTTCTATATTTATATGATAACAACCTGGGTGAATGTCAAAATGACGGTTTTCTTAGTTGGCTTTCAATGAAGAACAAAACAAAATGTGGACGGAAAGAAATAATATGGTCCTCACTAGGATTTTCAAAATCCTCAGACTCCCAATTTTGCTGTTTCTTCTGATTAAATTCCATCATGAAGATTGTACAATATATCTGTGATTCCACGCACCCCCTCCCTTAGGAAAATATCCATTGTACAACACACACTGGCAAATGTCTCATTTAAATAATGTAAACAATACAGTAAGTAAATTAATAAAAAAAACTATATTTAAAGTGTTATTGGACAAATTTTATCAATACAAGGCTTCCTTTTGGTGACTTCTTATTGTATTATAAAAATCGGCATTCGCGAAAATATGTGACAACGAAAAAATGTCTGTTTCCCCTGCATAACCATTCAATTCTAGTTGTTGTTGATTTTGATTTTATCAGATTAATTATTTTATGAGTATTTTTAAATTGGTATTCAGCTGCTTTTTCAAAAGGCATTAAAACAAAATTTCAAAATTTGTAATTTACGGCAAAATTTACCGATGCTGTTATGAACTGCTGTTTATTTGACTTATATTTGACTTTGTCCAAAATTGGTCTTTTGTCGTTCAAACTTCAATATAGTTAAAGTTCTTTAACACATTTCATTGTAACTATCAAAGCAGGTTATTTTTAGCTCTTAGAAATTTTATTTGGACCCGAGGATTTTTCACGGTAAGAAATTTTATCTCAGCCCGCAAATGATCCGATCTTTATTCAGCCAGGACCGAGAATGACAGACTTTCGGCCACACAGATGATGAAAGACTTTAATATAAACTTTAAATACTCGGCATCCGTACACACTAATCAAGCAAAAAAATAATTCTTTTTCTTTCTTTTCCTTTCTTTTTCTTTCGCTCTTTTTCTTTCTTTCTTTCTTTCTTTTTTATTTATTTTTTTTTAAAATAAAAATCGTTCGGGCGGAGCAATTTTTGACGGGCGGGCGGGGATGAGAATCTGGGAATTTATTTTCTATTGCCTTAGACAGTATAATTATCTGGAGAGCTATAAACAAAGTTACTTTCAATTTTAATCTAAGTTGTTTTATTGATATTCTAGTATTTTATCCTCTCACTTCATTACAGAAATACAATAAATACCAGATAAGCCTATGTCCGTCCTTACATTCTCTCCCTTTATTTCTTTAAAAATTATGGCAGTTGTCTCCCTTAATATAACATCTTTTTTTATTCTATGTCTGGGGACCTTTTTCAAACTATCTACCTACATTTGATGAGTGATTTATAATTGTTAACAATCATAAGAACTACATGTATATCATAAATTATAGGAATAAGTGTTGTGTTTAGTGATCAAGGTACATACCAAATATACAACAGTTTGGTGACAGATATAGAACTTACCTTTTCTAACTGTTGTAATCGTTGTTGAAGATTTGACACTTGTTCTGTTAATTCTGTATTCTTAGTTGAAGTTTCACACAGTTCTGATTCCTGTACAAACAGTAATAAAACTTGTATTTTGTTATATTTGTAAACATAATGAGACAATGTCAGCAGGAAATGTTTGTTTGCTTGATATGCAGTTATACAAAGAAGCCAGCATATGTATTTATGTATACATTGTTATTTTATTATCATATCCCTTACATTGATCATGTTCAATGAGAATAGTTATGGAAACTGTATCTGTATATTATTCATGAAAGTAAATCAGGTGTACATGTATTAAAGTTACAATCTGACTATTCTGCCTGATGTAATATGTGAAATCATAGTACTTACAAGAGTTTTAGAGATTTCTCTTTGCTCTTCGATATCTCTAGTCAGTCTTTCACACTCTAATTTCTTCTGTGTCAGTTCTATTTCCTAGAAATATAACATAATATCTTTACATGTGACTATCTCTAATATATGAATACATATCGATGTCATATAATGAAAGATGAATAATTTTATAATTGTAAAATGACCTAATATTATAATCCTGTAGAAATGTGTGTTACTTCACATGCATACCTTTGGATTTTATCCAGCACCACTGCCACACATGCAGGTAGGACTTAGTTCCACTATACCTCCAATGGCAGGATCAAAATTATAATGAATTTATAGAATTGTGTTGATTTGAATTTGGAACCATCCATTATTACATAAAGGATTGCAGTATTAAATTACAACCAGACATGTATATGACACACAGATGTCCCCACATTTTGCTGTATTCTCAGATAAAAATATCCTGTACAATAACATGTGTATAAGTATAGCAGTTATCTTTTTTGAAGTAAGTCCAAAAATGCTAATTTTTTGCTAAATGAGGGGCCATGACACAGATAATCTTCAGTAATTTTCCAAAAATTACTTAAGTCTAAAAATTCTAAATTTACATAAATGACAAATATTTTAGTACGTTTCATGGCTTTGGACAAACTAGTCTACATATAGACAGTATGGGCAAATCTATATATCCCTCCATAGCCATGTTAGTATAAAGTCAGGTAAAAATTTCAAGTAAAACTGTATGGTGTTGGCATATGTCTTAGTACAGCACACATAATATTTGGGCAGTAAATATATAACAAAATTTTTGTTTTACTCAAACATAATTACACTATTCTTTAATCTTTGTATAGGTTTATTTTTCAAGGGACTTAACTGCTAGAAGAATTTTCAAAAGAATCAAAGCATATTTAGTTCCCTTTATTTTCCTTATCAACGGTTTTCTGATTGAGAATTTATTTCTGTTTTACAATTACATTTAATTTTTTCATATTATTCTTTAGATTAATTTTCATCTTTTTATAGGTCAATTAGTAGTATACAACTTAAATAAATGTACTATTACCTGAGTAACACAACTCGTTTTTCCTCTCAAATTAGTTCATATAATATAAAGGTTTATTGTTAACAATGCTATATGTGTATACTAGACTATTGGTGACCAGAATGTGGAAGTGTCAATTATCATTATTTTATAGAGGTTTTAATAGTGCAGCCAACAGAAACTAATCAAATAATAATACAAAAACAGTAACTGTTATAAAGACAGTAATTTTCAGTTTTGTAAATGATGATGTAATGGCAATATAATTTTATAATATAAGTGTAAAAATTGAACACATAATTTATTTTAAATCATTTATATTTTTTATGAACATTCCTAAGTCCTAACATTTTACACAATTTTGAAGCCAATGACCATATAAACCAAAAATTTAACCAAAACAGTTAACTTACACTGAGTCATAACAAAAGCTGCACTTTTTTCAAAAAGTAAAGCTAAAAATTTTGGTAGAGGTCCACAAGACAATGCCTCCAGCAAAATATCAATGCCTTGTAATCCTGGAGAAAAGTATTTTCATTTTTTTTCCTATTATTTCTTGCAGTTGCCATGGCAACAAGATTTCCCCACAATTTAAATTCTAAGAACAATCAAGCCAAGTTTGGTTGAATGAGATTTAGGGATTTTGAAAAGAAGATTTTTGGTGACACTCAGCACACACATACATACAAGTGATAATTGCTACATGCCACACCATCACAGACACTTCAGTGGCATAAAAATATTTTACACTACCAGAACATTTCCTGGAGAAAAACAGATAACTGCTGACTTTTACACATTCTAAACTGCATAATTTTACCATTTCTATATGGCTGATACATATCATTCCCTTATTATTTCCGTCTATGAATCTATTCTATAGTCTAAATAAAGTCAAAACAAACATATTTACATCATTCTGACAGATGAAAATTGTTATCTAACATATAGAGAAAAAGAGGGGGTAATACAAAATAGGAAAAGCTTCTAGGTTTTTTTTAAAAGTGTAAATACTGTTACAATTATAGTGTGCAGAACCTTATAGGTGATATGTACTTTTAATTCTTACATATCAGACAGGAATATTATTATAATTTAAGAAAAAAGTATTAAATAAAAATTATAGTTTTCGGTATTTCTATCCAAACAAGATATGTTTGTAAAACATGTATGCCCCCTATCAGCAGCCAATTAGTCATGTGATAAGGTTATTATGCATGACTTCTGACCCAGTGATCAAACAATTAATAAGGGTTATCAAGTATCTACTGGTCATGACCTGAACCTTTGACCCCTTGACCCAAAACTCAATAGGGGTCATCTACTGGTCACGACCAATCATCATACAAAGTTTGAAGTTCCTAGGCCTAAGCGTTTTTAGTTAATTGATCGGAAACCATTTTTACCTACAAGGTCAATGTGACCTTGACCTTTGACCCCTTGACCCCAAAATCAATAGGTCATCTGCTGGTCATGACCAATCACCATACCAAGTTTGAAGTTCCTAGGCCTATGGGTTCTTTAGTTATTGATCGGAAACCGTTTTAACATACAAGGTCAATGTGACCTTGACCGTGACCCCAAAATCAATAGGGGTCATCTGCTGGTCATGACCAATCACCATGCCAAGTTTGAAGTTCCTAGGCTGAAGCGTTCTTTAGTTATTGATCAGAAACCGTTTTTACTTACAATGTCAATGTGACCTTGACCTTTGACCCCTTGATCCCAAAATCAATAGGCGTAATCTGCTGGTCATTACAAATCACCATACCAAGTTTGAAGTTCCTAGGCCTAAGTGTTCTTAAGTTATTGATCAGAAACCGTTTTTACTTACAAGGTCAATGTGACCTTGACCTTTGAACCCTTGACCCAAAACTCAATAGGGGTCATCTGCTGGTCACCACCAATCATTATACAAAGTTTGAAGTTCCTAGGCCTAAGCGTTTTTAGTTAATTGATCGGAAACCGTTTTTACCTACAAGGTCAATGTGACCTTGACCTTTGACCCCTTGACCCCAAAATCAATAGGGGTCATCTACTGATCATGACCAATCACCATATCAAGTTTGAAGTCCCTAGGCCTAAGGGTTCTTTCGTTATTGATCGGAAACCGTTTTTACCTACAAGGTCAATGTGACCTTGACCTTTGACCCCTTAACCCCAACATCAATAGGGGTCATCTGCTGGTCATAAACAATCACCATACCAAGTTTGAATTTCCTAGGCCTAAGGGTTCTTTTCTTATTGATCAGAAACCGTTTTTACCCAAGAGGTCAATGTGACCTTGACCTTTGACCCCTTGACCCCAAAATCAATAGGGGTCATCTACTGATCATGACCAATCACCATACCAAGTTTAAAGTTCCTAGGCCTTAAAGTTCTTTAGTTATTGATCGGAAACCGTTTTGGCTTACAAGGTCAATGTGACCTTGACCTTTGACCCCTTGACCCCAAAATCAATAGGGGTCATCTACTGATCATGACCAATCACCATACCAAGTTTGAAGTTCCTAGGCCTAAAGGTTCTTTAGTTATTGATCGGAAACCGTTTTTGCTTACAAGGTCAATGTGACCTTGACCTTTGACCCCTTGACCCCAAAATCAATAGGGGTCATCTACTGGTCATGACCAATCACCATACCAAGTTTGAAGTTCCTAGGCCTAAGGGTTCTTTAGTTATCACTCGGAAACCATTTGGTCTACGGACCGACGGACCGACAGACCGACGGACCGACAAGTGCAAAGCAATATACCCCCTTTTCTTCGAAATGGGGGCATAAATATGATTAATATTTACTGTGCATGGAAAGAATCAAACATCAGCTGTCATCAAGGACGGGAATATCTAGCTCTCTGGTAACTGTTTAGCAGAAAATTAGCAAAGCCTTGTTACCACAGTAAACAGTTAACATATTAAGCTAGATATTCAAGTCTGCCAGGCAGCCAGTATAAAATTCTTATACCATTCAATAGTGGACTACCCCTGATATTTTACCTAGGAACAGTCCATTATTATATCAAATAGTTTTTAATATCACTTTATATATATAACTTTAAATTGAGCAGCCAGCACTGACAGCAAATGAAGCAAATATAAAGCCTAAATTCCTATCATTTAATCACAATACAATCTGTCAGATAGTACTTGTGCATGTGATACAGTCATTCCCTATAAAAAGCAAAATATGTCAAGGTGGTTTCCACCACAATACAGTCTGATTGATATACATTACAATTTACCTACTAAGTGTCAGTGTTGCCTTTCATTAAACTCAAAAAATCAATAGGGACCATGCCCTACTAAGTTTCAGTGTTTCAATTTATTACGATAAAAAATCAATAGGGACCATGCCCTACTAAGTTTCAGTGCTGCCTTTTATTACGATAAAAAATCAATAGGGACCATGCCCTACTAAGTTTCAGTGTTTCCTTTTATTACGATAAAAAATCAAAAGGGACCATGCCCTACTAAGTTTCAGTGCTGCCTTTTAGTATGACTGCTAAATCAAAATGGACCATTGTTAATGGCCATACAAAGTTTCACAAAAATAGGCTTTTCAAACATAATCTTTAGACTGCTTTCCTGGGGGAAGGGGGTAATTGAGATCAGTAAGACAGTTATTGAAATTTACATAGTGCCTACAACCTAGATTACCAATAATTACAACTTATAGATATTATTTTAACTAACAAGAGCTGTCCGTAAGACAGCGCGCTCGACTTTTTTATTGCTTGCCAATAAAAAAAGTTTTTGCAGTAAAAGGCAATACAAGAATCTCTGTATTTTTAAAGTGAACAATGGCCATGAGCATTAAGATATTTAGTGAAGAATTATTTTACTGAATTGTGTGATACCCTTGAACACTGCAGCAAAGTTTGAAATGTTTAAGTCAAAAGAGGGCTGGTAAGAAAGAAAAAAAAACTAGTTGTTTGATACCCTTGAATATTACAGCAATGTTTATATGACATAATTTATGGTAAAGTGAACAAGTGGATAGGAATGAATTTTTTTAGATTTTTTAAGTTTTTTAGTGCTTGCCTATAATACAAAACATTGACAGTTAAGGGCCATAATTCAAATAAAATCTTTGACAGAATTACCTTCTCCTGGACATGTTTGGGAATCATGATTGTAAACAAGTATTCCAACTTTCAAATTAATATCTCAAACAGTTCAGTCAAAAAGTGGACTGGTACTAAAAACTTAACCAAGATTCTAAGTCGATAAAAGGCCTTAATTTTTAAAACAAATCCTTGACAGAGTTACCTTCTCTTGCGTACAGATGGGGGTAATGATGTGAAATAGCATTAAAAGTTTCAAAGCAATATCTCAAAGGGTTAAGGCAATAAGTGGATTTTACCCATATTCAATGTATTTTCTAAGTCAAAAAGGGCATAATTCTGTCAAAAAACCTTGACAGAGTTATGTCCTCTTGTCTGTTGATGAAGGTCGTGATGGTAAACAAGTATGGTCAGTTTCAAAGCAATACCTCCAATGGTTTTGAAATAAAGTGAGGTGGTACAAAAAACTTAACCAAGCTCAATACACTTTCTAAGTCAAAAAAGGGCCATAATTCTGTCAAAAACCTTGACAGAGTTATGTACTCTTGTCTGTAGATGGAGGTTATGAGGGTGAACAAGTATGGTAAGTTTCAAAGCCATACTTGTAATACTTCTGAAATAAAGTGGGGTGGTACGAAAAACTTAACCAAGGTGTGACGCCAACGCCGACGCCGACGCCGGGGCGAGTAGGATAGCTCCCCTTTTCATAGAAAAGTCGAGCTAAAAATGTCAAAAATAATTGACTATCTATTTTCCTGTCATTAAGGTCTGTATAAAATTCAATCATTCACAGAATAGCATAAAGGCAATATTAAGTATGTAGACTTTGCATTTTCTTTTGACTTAAATACCTCAAACATTTGTCCATTTCTGGAGACTACATCACCTAATGCTCAGCAGTAATTTTATTAAATTTATTAAGTTCTAACCATCAAAGTGGAGACAATCATTTACCTGAAGATGAACGTCACTCCTGTTGTTGTTTGCCCAGCAAGCCCAGTCGGTAAACAATTGAATGTATCTTTTTAGTTGATCTAAATTAGTGTTAATATATTGAAAGGGGCCAAATATATTTACAAATCAAAGGCTTTGTGTCAGCATTCCTGTGTACTACTATTCTGTCAGGGGACAGTCATTCATACATCTTAAAGCAAACCATTGTGTTAAAATTATTGAATTTAAGGCATCATTTTTTTCTCTAAATTATCTTTCATAATTTTTAAAACTGAACTAAAGGTTTACTAACATTATGACTGGAGTATAAATGAGTACATAAACAAACTGGTTCTTACAAGTCTGTCTGTATCACTTTGAGCACGTTCTAGCTTCTGTATCTCTTTCTTCAGTGTTTCATTTGTCTCCTCTAATTCCTTATATCTCTCTGCACTCACTACTTTACAATCCTGAAAATATCACAAAATATCTCAATTATAACATTCTTCCTTTACTTCAGAAGCTTAATATGTAGAAAACATTTAACATAAAATTCAGATGAGGACATATAATGTTTATATTTTCAGGGGAACAATTATTACAAGTCATTTTACTTATAAAATGCTCCATGAATACAAAAACTATCATGATTAATTCTATATTTGTAGTTGTTTTTATACTTCTAACTTATGCAGTTAACATTGTTTCTGTTACTAGGAAGCTAAGAACACCCTTGTCTCATGACCATGCAATTTCAATACTTCAAATTTTTATATGTAGGGCATTGGCTAAACAAATCTAGACATTTCCAAAGAATACTCTGATTATAAGAATACAGAATATATTAATAACAATTAATAAGTTCATAACACAACTTTGTTGTTATTTAATGTTGGTTATAGGTATACATATTGCAAGCAAGACATATGAGCTTTAAAATACATCAATGAAATCTTATTTCCTTGATAGAGACTACAGCTACCTTTGTAAATATATATATTTTCCTATATTCCCTTTCTTTCACTTAAGGCAGTGCATTATATTAATTGTAAGTGATAGCCTAGTTTAAGAACAGTGCCATAAAAATGTCACAAAATAGGCCCATCACAAATACTGAATTATTCATGTAACACTCTTTCTCTCATTATGGTGAATGTTTATGTTAAATCCTTCAATATGTGATGACTTAATGGTCAATACACAAATTTTCATATTTCTTTCTAACCTTTGACCTCTATGTGTAATCTTAACCTTGACAACAACTACCTGAATTTTGTATGTTTTGGATTAAACATATTTATCTAAGCTCGATTGCAAAACAAGTTCTTGCAACTTATATTAATCACTTTCGAGTCCGTTTCCTGGAACCAACCAGTGCTGGTGTCATATGAAGAATCATGGTCGTGACCCAAGTAGGGCTCGAACCCTGGATGATCTCTGGGTTGAGAGGCAGACACCTTAAACCACTAGGCCACCGCTTCCCTTAAATTTTGTATGTGACACTGTCTCACAATGGTGAACATTTATGTGTCAAATTATTTATAAGGTGAAGGGTTATCATTATTTTATCCACATAAAACTAAATTAAGGGCTCACACACCCAACCCTCTACCTCCCCATTTAATATTATGTCACATTACTTACTCTAAACTCCTCATAGCTCACTATCTTCTCTGTGTGAACCCTTTATGTCAGTTTTATGTGGATGTAATCAAGATTAACCTTCACCTTGTAAATAACTTAAATAAAGCCGCCAAAGCAATGTGTTTAAACAATGTAGCAAGTTAATACAGCCCATCTATACTTCAGTAGTGACTTTGCAGTATTACAACAGAAAAGCTTACATAATGATTTTATACATAGGAACTCTAGAACAGGACCGCATATTGCAGCGAATAAATCCGAATCCGTACCGGCTTTACATATTGTTTGTCCGACCTTTGAATATCTTTTCATATGATGCGAGCGGGTGGTCTTTAATTATCCAATCTTAATTAAATATAATCTGATAATTTAAAAATCAGTCAAATTTACGGTATATTGAAAAAAGAAAAGGAGTGACATCCGCTATTTGCCGCAACGTTCGGCGTAAGTTATCCCCCTTGACATGTTTGATTTTTGTTTTAATTTTTTTAGTAATGAATACCAGATGAGTGCCTAAAATATTTATCTATGGATCATGTTTTAATATTCCTTTTTTCAGTTAGGCACAATCAGTTGGACCATATTACTAAAGTGTCTGTTTTCTCCATGTTAACAAATCAAAACACGAATACGCCCGTTATAATGCCGCCTATACATGTCAACACGTGTAAACAATAAACTGTTAACGTTATATCCGGACGATACCTGATAGTTGACAAAAATAACGGGAACAAAATTCTGAAAAAATAGTAATCAATTGTAGCCAAAGGGGAAAAACTCATGCCGAAAACGTTGCGGCAAATGGCGGATGTCACTCCTTGTCTTTTTTATAATACCGTAAAATTTGACCAATTTTAAAAGAGACAGATTGGGTTCAATTGATAATATATTTTTTGAGTCCATACACTCGGATAATACTAAAAGATATTTAGATGTAGCAGAAACGTATTTAAAAACAGTTACAAGATCGAAAATATACGCCGCAATCTGTGGTCCCGTTCTCGAGTTCCTATGATTTTATATAAAAAGATCCTTTTATATTTTATACTATAATGAACAAATTCGGAGAAGTTCACATCATGATTTATTTATAGATAAATATAGGGACTATCATAAAATATTGCAGCTTATAACAGTCATAACAATTTCATACCTACCATTTATTCAAAATAGATCAAAATATAAACTATGTTACATTTAAACAAGTTCCATTTCTCACTACTAGATCACACATAGACAACTCTATTCTATATATTTACATTTTATATCATTTCCTTAACTTCACTTTTATATTAATTACATCAAGCTGTAATCCATTATGTGATTATTTCCATTGTTTAACAACACAGAATTATTTCCCTGAAATTAATGATTACTCCATAAAATGTTATCTATAATTGCAGCTCCCTATGGAACAGAATATAATTTATGATTGTTTCTTGCTGTTCAACTAATATTTAACCTGCATATGTCTATTTTGTTATCATATAACTTCATAAGTCATGTGAACATCAAAGTAATTCAGGTCTTCTCTAAATCAGAAAATCTGTTACCATAGTAACAAATTTGTCACAAACTATAATTGTAGGTAATATATGTGTAGATGACAAGTAGACTAAATGGCTGGTAAGTGGACATCATGCTACTAGATTATTATTGTCACTTACTGTCACAGCTACAGCTACATTCAACTAGAATATGATGATCTACCAGTAGTGACTGTAACACTCTTATCATATTCCTGTCACATATATGTTTTATTTCTGTAACTGCCCTTGTTATTTAAGTTGTGTTTTCACAATTTTATAGTGTATTTTTGTGTTCATTATCACTTAAAGTGACGATATTCCTAACAGTATAATATAATGATGTTGAACATACAAACAAAAAAAACGATAAAAAAAAAAAAAAAAAAAAAAAATAAAAAACAAAAAAGGTCAGAAGAAATGGTTGTGATAAAGCTGTACAATTTAACAGACCATTACATTATATAATATGTAATACATGAACAGATATGACTCTATGTACTCATCTCCCAGAACTGTCATATCAAACTTTATTCCTAAAGTACAATATACTTAAAACATATTGATACAATCTCTATAGTGAAACATTAATCTTTTTACTCTCACTGGTTCACATCAATAATGGCTATTCCAGTACTGGTTTATTGGATATACCAGTACTGGTATTACTATAAAGAAACATATATTGTGTTATTCAACGAAATAAGACTTAAATTAAAGCTTCTTCCACATCAAATTTTCTTTAAGTTTCTATCAACTATTATGAACTGTTCTCAAAATATTAAATTAACAAAGATTTTTGATGTAACGTTTTTAAAACTTTTACATGGAGACAATCATGTACATTGTCATGTTTTTTCCCCTGATTTGCAGATAGATTTTAGAACATTTCAAATATTAACTATACTTTTGACACAATTTAAAACAATTTCTATGGTCACTCATCTAAATTTTCTAGAAGCAGTAATAAGACGCTAGTTTTTATATGTGAATGCTGTTTGTTTGGTCATTATACCAATTTCAACACATTTTTTGGTCATATATAGGCCAGTCCAGTTCAGACTGGCTTTCCTGGAAAAATAACCAATTTCTTCACAAGTGACCAACTATTAATCCCCTATGATGTCTGAATCAGCGGTGTGAGACAAATGACCATTAGACTCAACATGTACAACATCAATTGTCAACAATTTTTTTGCCACATCCAACCATGTAATTGAGGTGTCTCCTTATTGAGGTGAATCAGATGCAGTAATATAACAGATATACCATCATACACTTATTCCTAAAAATTCTTAGAGACCAAGAACATGGATATATTTTGTCTCTTTGAAATTCTCCCAAAATACAATCACTGAAACTTGCAGACAATACATACCATTATTTTGTTTCCTACAGTAATATCAAATGTAAAATGATAAATTGTGTAATTATGAAGAATTTACAGCAGGAAAATATCAACTCCAAACATCACAAATAATATGGTTGGCAAAAATAATTCTAGACCTTGATCAGGATAATAAGCCATGAAATATTCCATTACAGCTACATACTGGCATACAAGAAAAATGTTCCATGTATAATTAACGTTTTATACACAATAATTTTACTGAAGACTACTTGGATCAGCATGCATGATTATTTAATTCTATTTTTGAACAGTTAATATCTGACTAAACTGCTGGTAATAAGGCCTGCATATTGGTGAGACAGTCAGATTATATTATAACCCCCACCCACCACCATCCCCCAACCTTTACACAGGATGTCAATAAACTCATCAGAATTATGCTTATAATCTTAACATGAAAATGTTCCAAAACGTAAGCACATGTACAATTTAAAGGAAATTAAAATCTTAAATACCAACATGTCTTTTAAACACATAAGAAAACTAGAAATGTGTCCATAGGACACGGATGCCCCCACAGGCCACTGTTCTGTCAATCTTAATACTTTAGGTCAAATATTTTTTTGGACTACATGTGCCACAAGCTGAAAACTAAAATTCAACAAAGGGCCATAATTCTGTTAAATTGATCGCAGCAAAAATTCCTTCCTTAACTACCATCTACACATGAAGGTTGTTCATCCCTAGAAGTTTAAGCAAAATCGCCATCCGGTTTAAGAGGAGTTGCGTTCACAAAATTTCTGCATAGTATATAGTGAAAAAATCAACAAAGGGCCATAATTCTTTTAAATTTGGTCGCAGCGAAAATTCCCTCCTTTACGACCATCTACACATTAAGGTTGTTCATCCCTGGAAGTTTAAGCAAAATCTGCCATCCGGTTTAAGAGGA